CATATGATATTGCTTATATGTGGAATCTAAAAAAAACAATACAGATAAACTCATATGCAAAAGAGAAATAAACTCACAGAGATAGAAAGCAAACTTATGATTATCGAAAGGGAAGAGGGGGAGGGATAAATTAGGAGTTTGGGATTAACATATACACACTACTCTATATAAAATAGATAACCAACAAGGTCCTACTGTATAGCACAGGGGGCTATACTTAATATCTTGTAATAACCTATAATGGAAAAGAATCTGAAAAAGAATAGATATAGATATATATGTATGTATAAGTAAATCACTCTGCTGTACACCTGAAACTAACATAACACTGTAAATCAGCTATGCTTCAATAAAAAAAAAAAAAACGTGATTCACCGCATTAGCAGAATAAAGAAGACAAAGTATATGAACATCTAAGTAGACGCAGAAGGTACTTTGACAAAACCAACATCCACCATGATAAAAACTCTCAGAAAACTAGGAATAGTAGGCAACTTCCACAACCAGATAGTGTACATCTATAAAAAACTCAGAGCTAACAACACACGTAATCCCTAGAATCAGGAACAAGGCAAGCATGTACGCCCTCACTACTTCTGACACTGCTGGAGATTCCAGTCAGTGCAACAGGCAAGGAAGAAGAATCAGAGGCAACCAGATGGGAAAGAAGATGTAGGATGGCATCTTTCTGGTAATCAATAGCACATGACTGCCTCCATAGCAAACTAGTAGGTAAGTTTAGCAAATCACAGGATACAAGCTCAGTAACAAAACTCACATTTCTATATATAAATGAACAAAAGACAATTTTTAAAAATTTAAGTACCATTAAAAGAGCACCTGTACACATTAAATACTCTAAGCATACATATTATAAAATATGTTATGCCCTATATACTAAAAACTACACAACACTGATGGAAAAAAAGAAACACTGATGAAATCAAAGAAGACCTAAATAAATGGAGAGCTAAACCATGAATATATCCATTCTCTCCAAGTTGATGTATATATTCAGTGCAATCTCAATCAAAATTCCAGCAGGATTTCTGTAGAAACTGAAATGTTGATTCCACAATTAATATGGAAATACCAAGGAACTAGGATAACCAAGACAATTTTGGAAAACAAAGACAAAGTTAGAGGACAGCAGTAAACAAACTCTTACTTCTAAGAGTCCCTTGTCTTCCCGATCTTGGATGAATCTCAGCTCCCCCCAGAGTCATTGCTCCCTTTCCAGGCCCTCAGCTGGGGGGCAGGCTGGTCACTGCTGCTCTCTTTTTAAATTTAATTTTTTATTTTATACTGGAGTATAGTTGATTTATAATGCTGTGTTCATTTCAGGTGTACAGCAAAGTGCTTCAGTTATACAAATACATATATCCATTTGTTTTCAGATTCTTTTCCCATATAGGTTATTACAGAATATTGAGTAGGGTTCCCTGTGCTATACAGTAGGTCCTTGTTGATTATCTATTTTATCTATTTTATGATTATTTTATGATTATTGTATATATGTTAATCCCAAAGTCCTAATTTATATCCCCCATCCCACATTTCCCCTTTGCTAACCATAGGTTTGTTTTCTATGTCTGTGAGTCTGTTTCTGTTTTGTAAAGAAGTTCATTTGTATCATATTTTTAAAGATTCCACATATAAGTGATATCATATTATACTTGTCTTTCTCTGTCTGACTTACTCCACTCAGTATGATAATCTCTAGGTCTATCCATGTTGCTGCAAATGGAATTATTTCATTCTTTTTTCATGGCTGAGTAATATTCTGTTGTATATATGTACCACATCTTCTTTATCCATTCATTTATCAATGGACATTTAGGTTGCTTCCATGTCTTGGCTATTGTAAATAGTGCTGCTATGAACATAGGGGTGCACGTATCTTTTCAAATTATGGTTTTCTCCAGATATATGCCCTAGGAGTGGTATTGCTGGGTCATATGGTAGTTCTATTTTTATTTATTTAAGGAACGTCCATACTGTTCTCCATAGTGGCTGCACCAATTTACATTCCCACCAGCAGTGTAGAGGGTTCCCTTTTCTCCACACACTCTCCAGCACTTATTATGTATAGACTTTTTGATGATGGCCATTCTGACTGATACAGGGTGGTACCTCATTGTAGTTTTGATTTGCATTTCTCTAATGATCAGTGATGTTGAGCATCTTTTCATGTGCTTTTTTGGCCACCTGTATGTCTTCTTTGGAGAAATGTGTACTTAGATCTTCTGCCCAGTTTTTGATGGGGTTGTTTGTTTTTTGATATTGAGCTGCATGAGCTGTGTGTGTATTTTGGAGATTAATCCCTTGTTGGTCACTTCGTTTGCAAACTGCTGCTCTTTCCACCTCAGTCACAAATCCTACCTCCTCTGGGCCTCACGCCACCAGCACTATCTCTACTTACATTTTGGAAACAAATTCATTGAGAAGTTTGGTGCAGTCTTTCTTTTCCTTCAACTCTTACCATTGTCCCAGGCAATGCGAACATCCATGGGGATGAGCCATTCAACGAGGCTCCCAGCTTGGCTGGAACATCTTCAGTGTCCTTCACTCCATTCCATTCAAGCCACCCCATCCCTCATGGCCTTCTCGTCAGGGCACCAGAACAGTGGACGAGGATGGACAGCAAGCTCCCCTAGGCCCTTGGAGGGAGCGTTGTTGACCCCACACCATCCTCACTGTTCAAGCCAAGGTCACCTCCTCAGGGGCTGGAGGGGCCCCCTGAGTGCAGGGTTAGGAACTCCAGGCCTTGGGGGAGCAGGCCTGATACCTCCAATCCATCCACCGGGGAGAGGGGTGTGACCTGATCACTTCACCACATCTGCACACCCAGGCAGTCCACAGCATTGCAAGATGCCCTGGGGGTGTGCCAGCTTCTTCTGGGGGGGGTAGGGGTTGCACTGTCATTATAATGACCTATTGTCTTGTGATGGTTTTTAAATATGGAAAGAAACAGTTCCCGGGCTGAGCAGAAGACTTAGGAGTAGGCAGAATGAGATCAGAGTGAGCATGGCCGACGCTGGTGGGATGACGCTGAGCATCCCCAGGAGCTATTAAGATAGAAGCCGTGGCCATACTCAACGTGAGATAGCAAGGAACACCTTGTAACCAAGAGGATGGGCCCTTGATTGCTGCCTTCTGGCTTCCTCCAACCCCCTGGATCTGTCACTCTGGTGGGCTGCCGGGACCAATGAGTGGGGACCGTCCTTCCTGTGAAACAGGGAGGTGCTGGGGGCCTCAGGCACATCCTCTATCTCTGTAGCCACTGCTCGTTTGCCAGCCAGCTTCCTAGGGCACTGGAGTTTACAGGGAGTTCCCCAGACCTGCTGGTTCACCACTGCCAGCATTTGAAATGACACCCATGGAGGACGAACCACAGGCCCCCATTCCAGACGGCGACACTGCCCTCCATTCTCCCAGGTGCCAGGGTGGCTCTCTGGAACCTCCAGATCCCCACACACTGCAACCCTTACACACATATGTACTACAGGGCTCCCTGTATACCGTAAATACCATTTTACCACCCACCAAGGGCTGCTTGGACCGTAGTTGCATCTTTCAAAAAATGTTTAGCAGTTTAGTTTCAGGGAAAAGAGAAGAATCAGGTCATTGTTCATACACTTTTTTAAGCGGCCAATGTTAATTTTCAGGAGTAGGAAAAACTTGTAGGAAGAAAAAGAAAGAAGTGATATAAACAATTTTCCATGTCATTAAAGAGAAATCAGATGCTGTACATAAGAAAAGATTGCCATGGGAGACTATAAAATTTCTTGCTCCAAATATCTTCTAAAAGGCGAAATAAGTACCCATCTATTCCCTGATGCCGTAATAGCAAAAATGTTGGCTCAGCCATAAAAAAGAACAAAATAATGCCATTTGCAGCAACATGGATGGACCTAGAGATGATCATACTAAGTGAAATAAGTCAGAAAGACAAATATCAAATGATATCACTTATATGTGGAATCTAAAATATGACACAGATGAACCTATCTGCAAAACAGAAACAGACTCACAGGCATAGAGAACAGACTGGTGGTTGCTTAGGGGGAGGAGGGTGGGAGAGGGAAGGATTGGGATTTTGGGGTTATCAGAGGCTAACCCTAAACTCCCAATCCTTATATATAGGATGGATAAACAACAAGGTCCTACTGTATAGCACAGAGAACTATATCCAATTTCCTGGGATAAACCATAATGGAAAAGAATATAGAAAAAGAATGTATGTATAACTGAGTCACTTTGCTGTACAGCAGTAATTAACACAACATTGTAAATCAACTATACTTCAATTTTAAAAATGTTGGAGGGACTTCCCTGGTGGCACAGTGGTCGAGCATCCGTCTGCCAGTGCAGGGGACACAGGTTCGAGCCCTGGTCCAGGAAGATCCCAGATGCCGCTGAGCAACTAAGCCCATGTGGCACAACTACTGAGCCTGAACTCTAGAGCCCACGCACCACAGCTACTGAGCCCGCAAGCCACAGCTACTGAGCCCACAAGCCACAACTACTGAAGCCCATGTGCCTAGAGCCCGAGCTCCGCAACAAGAGAAGCCACCACAGTGAGAAGCTCACGCACTGCAACAAAGAGTAGCCCCCACTCGCAGCAACTAGAGAAAGCCTGCGTGCAGCAACAAAGACCCAGAGCAACCAAAAATAAATAAATTTTAAAAAAATGTTGGAAAAGCAGTAGCACGCATCACATCCACATCTGCAACAACCTCTTTCAACCATTCGGCCCTGCTTCACAGATGTAGGAGTCAGAGAGTGTAATGGTGGAAATGGAAAACCCAGAAAGTGAAACCTTTAAAGTAGAAATCTCTAATGGTTTAAAACGCTCTCTGGAAAGATACTCCCTGTTGCATGTGACCCAGCTGGACGAACTAAGAACTGAAAGGAACGCAGTTAATAAAACCTTCCTACGAGATGTCGAGACGTCGCAAGGATGGGATGGGAGGCGGAAGCAGCGGAGCCTGGGTCACCTTCAAGGTCAGCCGCACGGTGTTGCAGTCCTCCCTCAGCGGGTTCAGCTTCAGCGTCTCTCCAAGGTTGCTGCAGCCCGACGACTGATGCTGCATCTCACAGCAGACACACACCTCGACGCTGTCGAACTTAATCTAGACAGGGGTACACAGAGCTCACGGTTAAAACCGGGCACGTGCTTGAGCTACACACACGCTTAAGAACACCATGTGACAAGCATCCCATCTCGTTTTCTTTAAATAATAAAGCCAAGACGATTTTTTTTAATAGACAAAAGACATCAGAAACACTATTAGGAATTATTAAAAATTTCTATTTTAAAAGCAATTAATAAAAAAATAAATTTGAAGAAACCTAAGCTATAAAGTTACAGAAAATTACATGAAGTTGAGCATGGAGACATTATCACGTGTCTGTGATAACACACATTCTGTTCCCACGGTCAGCAGCTCCTGTCTCCCTTCATGGCCTAGCAAACTCCTACTCATCTGTCAAGATCCAACTCCAGCGCCATCCCTGAGGCCTTGTCTGGTTTCCCTCTCGGGAGCTGCTTGCTTCTCCCCTGCTGGAGACTCACTTTCTCAGCAGCAGTGACTTGTGTCTGTGTGCCCCCAAGGGCAGCCGCCACATCTTAACCATTACAATGTTCACAATGCCCAGGAGGTGTGGGCCTTCAATAAGAGCTGAATGAATAAAAACGCCTGGGAAAATGAAAGACTATGGAAAGAACAAATGCAGTTCAAGTGTTTTTAAAAGCCTGGACCCCAGGAGGAGAGCCACAGAGCACACCTGAGCCGGACCTGCAGCTTGAAGTGGAACTGCCCTGGCCTGGCTGCAGAAATGAGAGAGAAATCACTACACTGCACACGCACACAGTTGTCCCCACCCATCTCCAGTCCTGGTCGGGCTGTCACACACGCACCCAACTGTTCACAGCCTTGGGCTTCTGGAAAAGTGAACTAAAAGAGGGACAGCCATAGGTCAAGGGCATTGTCCATGGCCAAATTTTCATCTATTTTAAACCTCTAGATAGTTTATCCTTTACCTATTTTATGCCTCATCTTTGCTCTTTTTATTGTCTTCTCAAATAATGTATAATTTATGTATCTGAATCACTACACATTTGAGTGAGTGGGGGGGACACCTCGTGTGTCCAGGATTGCTTGTTAGTGATTCTCCAAATCTGTGCGCAGGCCTCGGGGGCAGGACGGGAGGCAGGGGGAGGAGGGCGGTGTCCGCACAAACCACTGTCCCCTGCCACGGCCACCCACCTACGGCAGGAGGGGCTGCGAAAGCCGCCTTTAGAGATGCTCACGCTTTTAGAGATGTCTTTAGGGCTGAAGCCCGGCTAAAGGAGCCATGACAACACCCCCCATACAACACTCCAGGAAATGGTGCAGCCCACACCTGAACCCGCACCCAACCCTGGAGGTCCACAGGGCCCGCTGCCCACCAGTGTCAGGGCCGCTGTTGGTAGAGAGGCATGGGCCAGACCAAGGTGAACGGCCGTGGCTCTCTGGCCACTGAAATCTCCACGGTCATGTCATTGGCAACGTTTATTTCTGGTCCCAAGAAACTGGAAAAGAAGGGTTATGATTCTTGAGGCCAAGTTTTAAAAGGTAACGAGGGAAAAGGTAAAACTGTTAAAAGGTAAAACAAAGGTTAAAAAAAAAGGTCAAAGTTCACCCCAGTTGCCCCTGCCCATTGGGGGTTCTGAGGTCCCCAGCCTTGGGTGCCGGGTGGACCCTGGCCATCAGAGCTGGGCATGTGCTCAGGGAGAGGACCACTCTGCCTCAGAGCATCCTGGACCTGAGGGAGATGGGAGGGGAGCAGGGGCGGCACCGCCCAGAAGGGAGGCCGGAGGGAGGCTGGTGGACAGGCTCTCTCCTGGTTAAACTCTGCCCAGGCTCCCCCGCGCCCTCTTCCCCACAAGGCCTCAACCATGGCCTATAAAGGCCTGAAAACACAGACATGCTCTAACAGCTCAAGGCAACATCCCTACAGGACTTGATCCCCCCAAAAGTGCCTGCCTGAGAAAGCCCAAGGCTGCCAGGAGAACTGGCTGCTTTTTCCAGCCTCGGGAGAGGGCCCATGTCCCAGCCTCTGTGGGAGGGGAGCCTGTCTCCAGTGACTGCCAGCAGCTGGCACAGACAGCGGGCATCTTCGCGTGGACCCTGCTAACGCGTTGTGATTTTCCACTTCCCTGACTCTACTGAGGCCCCACTCCCCGCCACCCCCACTTCCTCATCCTTCCTTTAACACGCCTGGCCACCTCTGTGCAAACTGAAGTCAAGTTCAAGCACACACTCGACTCTCCTCCCAACTGCCACATTCTACTTCTAATGAAAACCTGTCCTCACCACTTTGAGGTACAGCTCTGTCCATCTTTGACAAAGCCCAGCTCTGGGGAGCTAAGGCTACCGATTCCCCCGAGGCAGCCCGGGGCAGGGGCCTCTTCTTGGCCTTCTCCCGAGGTGTCTTACACACCCGCCCTCAGCCCACTGTTTAAGGCACTGAGATTTACAACAAGAGTGAACAGGAAACAAAACTGCTGAAATCCCTGTATGGAACTTTATTTCTGGTCCTCTTTGCTAGAAAATATTTATTCTGGAATTGGAGGCCTAACTACATAAAATTTCTAGGCGTTGATTTATCTCTTGTCTGAAGCAGGAGTAAGACAGTATGGGAAGGGGCTGGCTATGGGGACAGAGACGGTATTGGAGTGACAGGGAACCATGGGCTCCCAGTGGCCTGCAGAGCCTGGGTACGGCTGTGAGATGGATGAGAACATTTCAGAGGCCAGGTTGTGTGCACGACTTTCACTCCCTCCTGTATAATGTCAGCGTGCTCTATACAGGCAGTGATGTGGTTTCCAGTACCCACATGTTTACCCAAACTACCTTTGCCTGAACAATAGAGAGATGGAGGCAGAAAACCATACAAACAGATGGAGAGATATACCCTGTTCTTGGATTGGAAGAATCAACATTGTGAAAATGACTATACTACCCAAGACAACCTACAGATTCAATGCAATCCCTATCAAATTACCAATGGCAGTTTTCACAGAACTAGAACAAAAAAAATTTTTAATTTGTATGGAAACACAAATGACCTCAAATAGCAAGAACAATCTTGAGAAAGAAAAACGGTGGTGGAAGAATCAGGCTCCTTGACTTCAGACTATACTACAAAGCTACAGTCATCAAAACAGTATGGTACTGGCACAAAAGCAGAAATACAGATCAATGAAATAGGATAGAAAGCCCAGAAATAAACCCACGCACCTATGGTCAACTAATCTACGACAAAGGAGGCAAGAATATACAATGGAGAAGAGACAGTCTCTTCAATAAGTGGTGCTGGGAAAACTGGACAGCTACATGTAAAAGAATGAAATTAAAACATTCTCTAACACCATACACAAAAATAAACTCAAAATGGATTAAAGACCTAAATGTAAAATCAGATACTATAAACCTAGAGGAAAACATAGGCAGGACACTCTTTGACATAAATCATAGCAATATTTTTTTGGATCCATCTCCTAGAGTAATGGAAGTAAAAACAAAAATAAACAAATAGGACCTAATTAAACATATATGTTCTTTAAAGCATTTTTATCATGGATTATAAATGAATACATGAAGGTCCAAACAATAAAACTGTGAGAAGGTGAGATAGAAGAATATCCTCATGACCCTGGGATAGGGAAACACTTCTTAAACATAGCTCAAAATGTGTTAAGAATAAACAAATGCCTCATGTGTTTGACTATTTGTAATTAAAATTTTTTTCATCAAACGATACCCATAAGAGAGTAAAAATAGGAGATTTCGCATCACATGTGACAGATGATTTATATCCAAAACAAACAAAAAGCTCTGTCTTAAATATTCAGAAAAAGACAAACAACCCCTATGAAACATGCGATATTGAGCCCCACCACAATAGTACTCTGAGAAAGGGAAATCAAAATAAAGTGAGATGTCATTACATCCCCATCAGAATCGCTAAAACTGAAGAATAATGACAATAGACAATACCAAGTGAGGATAAGGATGTGAAGCAACAGGAATGCATACACTTCTGTGGGGTGTGAATTGAGACAGAAATTTTGGAAAACAGCTTGGCATTATCTACTTAAGTTAAAGATTGCGTCTAAGTCTAACATAATACCCAACAGATATTTCCATCCTAGGACTATATCCAACAGATATGCATGCAATAGTTACAAAAAACATGTATTGGAAAGTTCATAGCAACATTACTTAAAACAGCTTCACACAGGAAAGAGCTCAATGTCCATCAAAAGCAGAATGGATGAATAAACTGTTTTATATTCATACCATGCAATATTATAAAGCAATGAACATGAATGCAGCAACATGCCACACAAGTATATTGCACAGCATGTTGAGCACAGGAAGCCAGATACAAAAAGAAATACTTCTACTGAAATGAAGTTCAAAAAACCAGACAAAATTAAACTATAGTGTTCAGAGATGCATGCATAGCTGGTACAATTGTTTAAAAAATTAAAGATGTGAATATCATAAAGATTAGCATAGTGATTATCTTTGTGGGGGTGGAGAGGCAGTGAACTGGGAGTATATAAGGAGGGCTTTGGGATGCTGGGGACGCTTTATTTCTAGACTTCAGTGGAGGTCACATGGCTATTTGACTTGATAAACTGCTAAGCTACATATTTTTGTTTTGTGCACTTTCCTATATGTGTTTTGTATTTCTCAGTAGAAAAAGTTAAAAACGGATGGGCTTGCTTGAAAGTAAATGAAATGTAAAACTTAAATTAGGAAAAGAATGAAAACAAAATAATAGAAAACAGAAAAAAAGAAATTTAACAAACATAAAAAGTGAAACTAATGGAATAGAAATAAAGGTATTAGGACGAATAAAGCCTAATGATGATTCTTGAACAGACCAAAAAAAAAAAAAAAAAATAATGCAAATCCTTGGTAGGACTGATATTTGAAAAAGAAAGCCAAAGTAAACAACACTAGGAATGAGAAAGGAGATTTAACTATAAATATAGTAGAGATTAAAAGAATATGGGCAGCTCTACAGCCATAAATTTGAAAATCTAGAGGACATGGATAATTTCCTAGCAAAATAA